GGGCATAAACCGGCCGTGGCGCAAAAAAGGTTGGGGACCGCTGCTTTACTTAATTAGTCCTAGGAGGAAGTAATCTGTTAAACTATTGTTTACATTACAATTGCTTTTCTGTGTAAAATGACCTGTAATTCACTGTCTAATATCAGGATGTTAGAAGGCTTGAAGTGTATGATCTTACCTGAATCTGTGGTAATTCTCCTCCTGCTTTTTCCATGTTTGATTGTAGAGCTTTTTTACTTTATCGATGGCTTCCCTGTAATGCACAAGCATTCATACACACAGTTAGAAGTATCATGCCTGCAGGTCTGACATGACTCAATCTTGGCAAAAATACTGTAATTTATTAAGAAAAAAGTTATGACAGTGCTCGCTCTTACTTGCAGCCTTTACAAAGTTCAGAGGGCTTTGAGGCACTTCTTTGAGGAAGTGGTCGGTGAAATTCCAAACTGTGAGAAACAAATGAGACAGATTAGTATGTGCACATAAAAAAGTTACCTTTTCTTGTACCCATTTTTTTCCTCAGCTTCATTGCTGTTGTTCTTTTCTGTACATGTGTTGGAAGGTCATTTGTGATCTTAACTCATTGTGTCTGAACCCTGTTCTTATGCTACCTGCAAAAATTCCAAAAGTTACCTACATATTAAATATAATATTAGATCAGATATCAGCATTATAAACAACTTGTTAAATGTTTTGTTTTGTTTTTTCATGGTGTTAAATGTCTTGGAAAACAAACTAATTCCACAGTTTCACAGTTTGAAGTATCATCGCTGCAGGGCTGACATGGCTGACATGGCCAACTCTGTGTTATTCAAAGGTTGCTAGGAAGTACTGGTGGTTTGTGGCAAGTTAGATTGATTAGTCTAGTCAGTATTGCGGTGAAGTTTAGAGTAGTGCCATTGATGATGAACTGGTGCAGAGCAGCTTTACTGCTTCCTGTCATAATTCAGTCACATCAACCATACCAGAGATCAATTTGAATTTAGGTGGATGATCGTGTTTGGATTTACTCACTCACTAATGTATGCTTCAATCTCGTTGAATTTAGTTGTGCAAATCAATAAAGAGCAGTGAATTCTATTCCCAACTACAACAAATCTTAGGTTTCACACTAAGATTGGCTGTCAAATCTCACTTTAGACCTTACATACTCTTTTTTTAAGGCAAAGCCAATTTAAATCACTCTTATTTATTATTTCTTTTATTTTCTGCTTTTTTTTTTAATCAGCTTGTATTTATAAACAAGAAACACTCCTAGAGTGAAAACCTCTGCCAAGGAAGCTCACTCTCTGGGCACTATTAAAGAAACAGCATTGTATTAGGATAGGCTCCAGCCCCCCTGTGGCCCTGATAAGGATAAGCGGAAGAGAATGGATGGATGGATGGATAAACCAGTATAATGTCCTAAATGTTACCAACACAAACAAAGACAGGAGAATTTTAAGTATAGTGTTCAAGATAAAAGATATTTTTGGTAAATTGACTTTATCTGACCTTGAAGAAGAGGTCAGAGGTCCAACGTAATGTGATATTTAGAATCCACATACATCTTTTCCTATGTGCGTATACGTAGGGTGATGCTCATTCTTCTCTGTTGGTGAGGGTTTTTTTGCACCATGTTTGCAGGAAAAAATTTTAATACCTGTAAAACTAAATAGTGAAGAGGGAGTGAGTTTCCTTAGTTGGGGTTTGTAGTGACGTGTGAGAGAATAATTGACATGTAGTCAAACACATGATAAAGTTGGAACACATAATAAAGTTTGCCTGGCAGAGAGCTGGTACAAATGTCATCCAAAGACCTAATTTTTATTTTTATACTTGAGTGCTGGGTCTGCGCTTCCACAGGCCCAGCTGGTTTTATTTATTCTTGTTAACGACAAGCAAGACGAACATCTTTTACTTGCTAGCAAGGGAGACTGGTTGGAACCAGGCTCTTGGAGCTGAATGCTCCTCACCTGCCTCCTAGCCATTCAATTCAATTCAATTCAATTCAATTTTATTTATATAGTGCCAAATCACAACAACAGTCACCTCAAGGCGTTTATATATTGTACAGTATATCCTATAATAATAGATACAGAGAAAAACCCATAAACCCCTATGAGCAAGCACTTTGGCGACAGTGGGAAGGAAAAACTCCCTTTTAACAGTAAGAAACCTCGGGCAGAACCAGGCTCAGGGAGAGGCGGCCATCTGCAGCGGCAGCCTACACCTATTGCAGCATAGCTAAGGGAGGATTCAGGGTCACCTGGTCCAGCCCTAACTATATGCTTTAACAAAAAGGAAAGTTTTAAGCCTAATCTTAAAAGTAGAGATAGTGTCTGT